TGGACTCAAAATAGAGTTCTTTCATTTTCCCACTTCAAGACTGTTTCTCCCCCTCCCATTTCACCACAATGATTGATAAAATCAATAATAAAAAACTTAATGCATATGTACCTTGGAAATACAATGAACATTTGCACTCCGATCTCCCTTTTAACTCCATACTGCAGCTCTCTTTCACTCTTTTCTTTCTTGGTTTAGCTTTATATCAATAGTTTGATATAACTTTGATAGTTATTTCAAAGAATACTCTTTAAAAACTGCAGAAGTCTCATATTTGATAAAATCAGTGTAACTACTATGCTTCACCGATTATTTCAAAACTACTCATGCCATCTAATGAAGGTTGAAAATTGGTGTGATTTTTTGGGGGGGAGGGGGGAGTGGTGGTGGTTAACAGCATTTCAATGGGGAAAATGTGCTTTGAGATAAGAGTGATTTGAGTTAAGAACTCAGTCATGGAATGAATTAAAGTCAAGGTATCACTCTGTGAAAAGTCACTGTACTGAAAAATCAAGTCAAGATACTTTAAGCCAAGGTATCACTGTACGGAAAAGTTCAACAAACTGGGGAAAATTATGGTCCCCACAGATGCTGAAGTGTAGGTCCAAGCAGGGCTGCATTACCTAAGTGAGGAATGAAGGAAACTGCTATAACATCTGGAAGTTAATTCCCACCTCTGGCTAAGAGACAGATCTTTGACCTTGGACTGAAGCACACATAATACAGGAACCATGCTGAACCGTAACTGTGAATCTTGTGCCCATAATCTTAATTTCTGTCATGAACGAAGATGAAATATGAATGTAAGAAATTAGAAAGCTTGGATTCTTCTGTCTCAGGTCCCAAAGTTATTGTTATATATATTATGTCTGTGTGAGGAATTATTTCCTATTTTTGAATACTTTGGCAAATTCCTACCTCAAACTACTCTTAAATCAAAGTTTTACATCTACTATGGTGGCTCAGAACACAGCTATTTACAAGATTTTTTTTTTTTGTAATAATCTTTATTCAGTTTTCAGATTACATTAAAAAAGAAAAGAAGAAAAAGAGAAATATATATATATATATATATATATATATATATATATATATATATATATATAGCTTTGTAGCCAATGCTACCAGGAAGGGTGTGTGTGTATCACCGAAGTATGAAATAGTGTGATATTTAGAACTTAATAGTAAAGAGAAAGAGAGAGGGAAACAGAAAAAAAAAAAAAAAAAAAGATCTATAGCCCCAGAGCCCATAATAAAAATTTCTTGCTTTTGACTTCCCGGGGTTTTCATTGGGTCTTCTCTGTCCTTCCTCTCATCGCCTCCCCTTCCCTTTCTCCTCCTCTCTCCTCGTATTCTTTCTTCTTCTTCCTTCCCTCCTTCTCTTCCTCAATCATATCAGGATCTTTTTGTTCCTTTGTTTAAAATAGTCCATCACTATTCTCCAATTTGTTTCCTTCATTTGTATCCCTTTACTTCTTGTTATTAGAAAAGTAAGCCGGTCCATGTTTCTTATTTCCAGGATTTTTGTTAGCCTCTCGTTTTCATCTGGCGTGTCTTCCTGCTTCCATCTTCTGGCATAAGTTATTCTTGCTGCAGTTGTTATCAAGAATAAAATCTTATCTATGTTCTTTTCTATTTTTAAGTCATGTATCCCCAGGAGGAATAACTCAGYCTTCCACGGTATTTTTATTTGRAACATTCCTTGAAGATCCTTTTGGACCTCCCTCCAAAACTTTTTTTGCCTTTTTACAGGTCCACCATGTGTGGAAGTATGAACCTTCCTTCTCCCTACATTTCCAGCACCTTGTGCTGATGCCTCTATTACTCCTCCCTAATTTTTTCGGCGTCATGTACCATCTATGCGCCGTCTTGAGCCAGTTCTCCTTCATGTCAGTAGCCTGACAATATTTTAATTTTTCTCTCCAAATTCTTTCCCATTCCTCTTGCTTTATATTTCTCCCAATATTTTCATTCCACCTTTTTTTGTAATTTTTTTCCCCCTTTGTTTCCATTTTCCATTCCAGTAGCTTTTTATAAATCTTCGTTATCAATTTCCTTTTTGACTCCATTATTTTGTCCCAAAAATTTTTATCCTGATTAAAACCAATCTTTTTATCCTTCTTGTATTTTTCTTTTATCGTCCAGTATTCTAGCCATGACACTTTCTGCTCCACTGTATTTAACTCTTCTTGTGATTTTAGAATTATCTCTCCTCTATCCATTTTTAATAAGTCTTTATATTTTGGCCATTCATGCCAGCCTGTACATCTTCTTTGTCCCGCCTCTAGCGGTGACACCCACATCGGTGTTTTATTGTAAAATCTATTTTTATATTTTTCCCAAATATTCAAGATTATCGATCTTACAAAATGATTGCCAAAATTCTTTTCGTTTTTTTTCCCTTTATACCACACATATGTGTGCCATCCCTCTCGCAAATCCYCTCCTTCCAATATTAATAATTTCTTCTTTTCCAATTTCYCCCAGTCCTTCGCCCAAATTAATGCATTTGCTTCCAAATATAATTCCAAATCTGGTGCCGCCATCCCTCCCTTTTCCTTTTTTTCAGTTAAGTTGTCATAACTGATTCTGGGTTTCTTATTTTTCCAGATAAATTTTCTAATATCTTTATTCCATTCATTTAATATTTTTTTGTTCCTTATTATTGGTAAGTTCTGAAATAGAAAAATTAGTTTTGGTAATACTGCCATTTTTACCGTGGCTATCCTTCCAAGAAGCGAGAGATTGCAGTTCTTCCACTTTTCCAGGTCCTTCCTTATCTCCTTCCATTTTTCTATATAATTATTTTGCAACAAATGTAAGTTTCTCGGCGTCAGAATTATCCCTAAATATTTTAGCTTTTTTACCACTTGTATGTTCCACTGGTTTTTTAGTTCCTCTTGTTCTTTTTTCCCGATATTTTTAGTTATTGCCTTTGTTTTTTCCATGTTGATTTTAAAACCTGATACCTTACCAAATTCCGTGATTACTTTCTGCCACTCTCCTAGATTGTTTTTTGGATCCTCAATAACACATATTACATCATCCGCATATGCGCGAATTTTATACTCTTGACTTTGCACCTTTGCGCCTACCAACACTTTTTCTTCTCTTATCTTATTCAGCAGAATTTCTAACGTTAAAATGAAAATTAGCGGCGATAAAGGGCACCCCTGCCTTGTTCCTTTCTTTATATCAATGTTCTCTGATTCTTTCCCATTTACCAAGACTTTTGCTTTTTGTTCCTCATATATGGCCTCAATTGCATTTTGAAAATAAAATCCCAAATCCATTTCTCTCATTATGATTTTAAAAAAACTCCAATTTACATTATCAAAAGCTTTCTCCGCGTCTAACGCAAGTAACATTACTTTCTTTTGATGATTATTTTCATAAAATTCAATCAGGTCCACAATCGTCCTCACAGCTATTTACAAGATTTGTATCTCTCCACTCCCCCCCCCCAGTTAGATCATCCCCTTCCTTCCTGTCCTTCAGAAAGATGGTAAAAACTTGACTGTGGGACCAAGCTTTTGGGACAGTGCAATAAGGCAACAATAGGAAATTTTACCTTGCTGATCAGATTTGGTATGGATGACCTGAGATGGTTTTAACAATTGATATTAAAGCGGAGATAACTTTAGTGTTTATGCATATTCATAGTTTATTTTATGTTCTGCATTAAATGTTTGCAGTATATATGTTGTGCTCCTCCCTGAGTCCCCTTCAGGGTGAGAAGGGTGGGATATAAATGCTTTAAATAAAAAAAAATCTTACAAACTATTTTCCCAAAATTAGATTACCATGAGAAAAAAAAGTGATTTGAGAAAAATTATGACTCTATGCATGCAAAAGTGATGCAGACAATGAATAGAGACAATCTATCCAACTTTTTTTTTTAAAAGTTACCATCCAACTTTGGGGCATTTACTCTAGGATGAGTTAAAGAAAGGTGGGAGAGACCAGTTTAAATGGACGTCTGACATGGAAAAGAGTGGGACCTGAAGTAAGCATAAATAAGGGCTGCTTCTGTACTTCTTGACCCACAGTCCCACCTCCTTTTACAGTATAAGCATTTTGGTTGCTTCGGGGCTGGGAAGGATTTTTCCCTTCCTCCTTGAAGGATTTTTTTTGCCTACCCTACATTATGATGGAGGATTTTGATAATTGGCTTTAGGATGATGCTTTAAATTGGTTACAATTTGGCTAGGTTTGGAGACAAAAATCTATTTTGGTGAGCATTGTCAGCAGTCCTTTACTGTAAGATGGAAATCAGGAACTGTCACTGAGCATGACACAATCAGGGAGTGGGGAAAGTCCACTGTTTTGGGGGCTAGTCCTGGCATCTTTGCATCATCAAGGGACCATATGACATGAGAGTTGACACCTTCTGGTTAGCCTTCCAGTTTAATAGGCTGTCTGAGAGCAACCTGATTTTCCAAGTGGGGTTTCTTTCAAAGGCTATGGTGAAGTTGGAGAGAAGGTCTAGTGGTAATCATTGCCTCGTCTGTGCCTGCATATTACCAGGAAACAATTATACAGGTGACATTGACAGAGTTATCCTTATGCTTTCTGTGCTCTTATTATACCATATGTTGGTCAGCAACCCATTTTTACTCTGATTTACTCTTATTACACTTTTCTCACTTAAACAGGTTGCAGGTAGCAATCTTGCATGTAACCCATTACTTCCACATTCTCATTGAAAATCTCCTTTATTATTCTTTTTCAAGTAAAGCTATTTGTATTGCAATGCAAACCAATGGCAAACTCCAAAATATTATAGATTTGAATTTCTCCAAAATGTGTTTCTATTTTAGAAAGACAAGGAAGTTAGTTGTCTTCATTATACAAGATGTTTGTGAACTTTAAAAGGTATCTTCACTCATAAGACAAGGAGGGAAAGAGTAAAAAGCTGTGGAAACAGATGGATGTAGAACTTTTATTTCACACATGCTTAGACATGATCTTTGAGAGTAAGGCAGCCAGAATGGAAGAAGTTATTCGCCTACTGATTGAGCCTTTGGGGCTTTCTGCATCCCTGCATGTGCATGTGCTTCATAGGCTTCCACATTAGGAGTACTGATAATGGAAGAAGCTTCGTTTGATATTTGATTTCCCACCAAGGGCTCTGTTTCTGTTGTAACACTTTCCACTGTCCCAAGCATGTCCCACTTGCACACAGGGCACGTCTGGTGCTTTAAAAGCCAGGGATCAACACAGGTTTTATGAAAAAGGTGCCTGCAATCCAAGACACGGGCCACATCTTTAGGCTTGTACATTTCTAAACACACTGCACAATTCTCTCCAGCAGATCCAACTTCTTTGTCATCCTCTTTCAAGGTACGAAGTTCTAGATGATTCATGGCCTTTTTAATAGCAAGCAGCTGTCGGCATCGCTGTGTGAGATCTCTTCCTGTTCTCAGCCTCCTGACACAGTAAAATGTGAAATAAGCCACAGCAACTGAGGCAAAAACAAAAATGGTACCCATATAATGTGTCAGCCATGGGTAATAATGCTTTCCAACATCAATGGTCACCATCACTTGGATTCCATTCTGAATCAAAAGCAAAAGGTCCAAGCCTTTCAGGTTGCCAATCATGACTGCCACAATATTTTCCACTCCCAAGTTAAACATGGGGAACACGCTGTTACCTGTTCCTGGATAATTGTAGATGATTACACCCACAGCTCCCTTTTCAGCAGCCACACTTATCTTTTGCATAAATGAACACTGGCCCCTCATGATGAGAGCTATCCAACTGTCTGTGTGTACTGGCTTAGTAAACGTTGTTACAGAGCTACAAGCATTTTGATGCAGCCCCTCGGGTGGCACTAGCACTCCGGTGACCTTCTTCAAAGGAGAGGCTTTGGCAAATACACCACGTTCTTCAATCTCCCACACGGTTTGATTGCCTATCCAAAATGATATGTTAAGGTTGGCAATCCAAAAGGCATCTGCTCCTGAGCTATATGTGGTGATAAAAAGGTAGATGCCAAGATGAAAACAGCAAAAATATGTTACCAGGTCTTTCAGGTCCATGTTGGCAACTCCAGAGCAGTCACTGAACCAGTACCGTAGGACAAAACTGGAGTCATCAATATGTGACAACTCGGCGTTGCTACTCAGGGAGAGGTTAAAAATCCATCTCAAAAGCTGTGGTGAAAATGATCCAAGAGGTTATCTGCCTCCGACATTTGATCAAGCTTTTCTGCACAAGGATGTGGGGGAGGGACTTTCCTCCCATGATGTGTTTCATTGTTAGGTAATGAAATTGTGACATCATCAATAACTCTGAAAATTAACATTGACTTCAGACTTGCCTCTACAGCCTTGTTCACTATCAATATATACTTCTCTTCCTCTCTTGCTCTCACACACAAAGATCTAAAATATCACATTGATACCATATAAAATGATTGGAGTATTTACTGGATATTTTGGCATACAGTGTAAGGAACGTGACATAATGAATTTGCCCACTTACTATTGTGCTGCCCCTAGCAGAGACTGCAGTAGGGTCATTTTAAGAGGAAAGAACCAGAAGCATCATTATACTATGAAATGCAGAGTGGGAGAGGCGGAATGTAGCAAAAGAGGACTGAATGTTGCAAAATTGGCATTTAATTGTATATACATAGCATTTTGGAACACTTCGGGCAGCTTAGTGCAGAAAAAATAAATACATCAGAAAGTAATTGGTGGGCTACCTGGATTTGCCTTTTAGATCCTGGACAAGGGGATGGGACTTGCATAGTTTTTCCCCCTTTAGTGCTTGGGGCTTGAGAGGAAGATCAGCATATTAAGACTTTCTGGAAATGGGAAAGCTGGAGGTGATTTATTGACTTTGAGGCCTGGGGTTGATTGCCCCCGACAGCCTACCTACTTGTTATATAATAGAAAAACCTCCAAACACCAAACATGTCTGTTAAAAGTTATTCACATTGTCTTCAGTGGGGCTTATAGTTAAGATTGTGTCAAAAGCATGCAAAAGTATATAATCATTTATTAAATAGCAAATAAAATAAAAGTACAAATACATGTAAATCAATGCCTGAGATAACCACCTAAAAGCTCTTCTACCTGCCTTCCACTTCACTATAAATGTAACACAAGAGTGGCAGTCAAATATACAGCCATGGTAGTCTTAAACTGGAATATCAGTATACAAAGGCCCCATGCAGCATAAACTTTCACAGACTAAGTCAACTTCCTCAGATGTAGCTGAGGAAGTAGACATGGATCTTATTTAAATGGGACTAAAGACCCACTGTGAGTTCAATCTTGGCTGTTCTCATGATATTCCTCCATTTCCAGTAGGTATCATAGGGTAAACCATCTTAATCAGATTTAGATCCATGTTAAGAAAAGTCAAGAGGATTTTCTGCAGTTAGCCTGAAACACTGGAGCATCTCTGTGGTACAGTGTCAACAGCATAGTCTGATCCTAGTTGGACCGGTCCATTGTCTATACTGTCACTATCCCTTTTTCATCAGTGCATGGAAAAAGAGATGGATTAGGCCCACGTTACCATCACTGCCACTTTCATAAAGTTTTGTGAGTGTTGTGAGTGCTCCTGACCATCACAGGTATCTAGTAATATCAAAGATGGGTCTGTGCAACCAGTAAGGAGGAATGGGGAGGAAACAGCAAGAGCAACAGAAACACAGATGGTAAAGTGGTAGTTCGGTGAAGCCAGTGTGGTCTCAGCCCAGTTGTAATGGCTGGACTCCTACCCACTACTGCCAGTTCTGGGGTCAGTTCATGATATTCCTGTGCAGATGCTGCATTAGTCTACAAAACCTTATTCCACCAACTTTGTTCTTCCAATTAGTTTTTAAGGTGCCCCAAGACTCCTTTTCATATTGATAAAGAGAGTATCAGACTCAAAGCAACAGAAGGTGAGGAACAGGAGCTTGACATTTAAGGTTCCTCTTTGTCTCTATTCACTAAAATGATTTAGAAATGACCATAAAATAAAGCACAGAAATCAGGTATGTGCTCTTGGGCTATAGACAGTCAGAAGGAGCTGTTTTCTTCTGAATGACATTTTATTTGACTCTCTTTTTAGGAATGAAAGACTGGGAGTAAATCTATTCAGCAGTCCCACTGGAGAGTAGAAAATTGGTAAATCTACATGTCTGTAATTGCCACTGATTTGGTAGGCATTACCTAGTGAGAACTAACTTCGGATTGCGCCTTATGTTGATATAAAGCTTGACACAGAAGTGGTTCGTCCCCCTTTTAATTGTGTCCCCCTCCCCTCACATTATTGGATCAGGTACTTCCAGTGATCATTGTCTACATCATTTCCAGGAATAATACAGAAATATTTTCTACATGTCCACCAGCAGAATGTTTCCATAATTTTTGAAAGGTTGGAAAGGGACTTTTCAATATTCAATAATCAACACATCCATTATTATACACAATCAACAAACAACAAACAACAAACAAACAGTTTGGGTATGTGTATTAAAACAGGCCTAGCATTAAAGATAATAGCTAAAATGTTCTTCATGGGTAAATTATCATTTGCCATTTGTTGTTTTAGGACCAATATTCCAGATTTTGATATGACTTGTGGAGAAGGTTAGTCCATTGAGAGGTGAAAGCACCGGTACCACCTCAAGAGGCCAATCATCTCATGGTAGCTGCCACTAGCATATTCCTACCCAGGCATTCAAAAAGGTCTTTCTCCACTCTATTCTTTTATAAAAGTTAGTGTAAAGTATAAATTCTTCTCAAAAAAAGAAAAAGAAAAAAAGAGCATCACTTCTGCTCTTCTTGAAATGTCTTGGTGTGAAAATGGAAGTGCTGGTGGTGCTTTGGCACTTCCCTTCAAAAGAGTGCCAAGAAACTAGAGGTGACCAAAGCTTCTTTTACATCTTCTCGGGATGACCCAAGTCTCACTTTTCACTACTCTATTCAGAAACGTGTACTGTTCTCTTTTTCTATCTGAGTTAAAATACTAACTTTGACCTGTGCACAAACTGAGTCAGGTTTGGGAGGCCAATTTTATTAACTAAAATTTTAAAACTTGAATGTGAGTATATGCAATGAGTGTGATAGGCTCTACCAGGAAAATGTGGGAGCTAAGGATACTCAGAATACGGAAGACATGTTTTCCTTCAAGGTAAGGGACTGGATGGCCCTTGTGGTCTCTTCCAACTCTATCATAGCTGATAGTTCTATCAGAATGAGGCTACTAGTTGTACTTTTATCCCAGTTTATGTTGGGATAATCAATCAATCTAACTTTCTTATCTGAGGAAGGGGAAAGAAGGCAAAGGTAAACAGCATCCCACATCCTATATAGAATACTATTAAAACTATAACTTCAAAATCACACATATGTAATAAAAATGCAATCAAGCACCAACAAAATAAAGATAAAAACAGATCACACTGAATTGCCATTTTATCTCAACTCTAATTAAAATCAGTTTCTGTCCATTGTGACTCCCAAAAGAGAATGTCCTTCAAAGGAAATTCAAATAACATACTTTGTCCTTATTTGTTTCTCGCCCAAGCAAAACCTTCAAGAAAAAAACCATGCATTGTGTATGTATATGAATTATACTTTTCAAACTAAAAATCTTCATAAATTGATTGCTGCCTCCCTCTCCCAAAACACACACACAACACAGTGCAAAAGTTTACATTTCAGGGGGAGGTGAAAGTTTCAGATACTGAACTTGTTTCCCAAATATTTCAAGATTTTAATTAATAATGACAGCTGACAGTAGTTTTGAAAATGTTTTCTGAAAAGAAATCATTTTTATCTGTTTATAGAGGTCAACATGGTCTTTCTATGAGTTTACAATATGAAACAGTCTCAAGAGTTAAAGAGAAAAGGCATCAGATTCCTTCTTTGTTATTTTCGATAATGGGACGAATGCAGATAGGGCAAATCCTACGCTGTAGAAGCCAGCGGTCGATACATCTTTTGTGAAAGATATGCCTGCAAGTTAAAATGCACACCACCTCTCTAGGTTTGTATGTCTCCAAGCACACTACACAAGTCTCTTCAGCTAGATCAAATTCACCTTTTTTTAACTTGCGCAACTCAAGTGAATGAACTGCTTGCCAGAGTTGTGTGTCTGAAATCTGAGTTCTTGGCTTGTCACATCTTTCTGCAATCACCAATAGTATGCATCCAATACATTGCAAAATGAGAGCATAAAACAGACAGTTCTTCCAGAAGGATTGCTCATGTCTCACTTTAGTTACTGCAATTACCCTGATACGCTTCTGAATTAACCGTACATCCTGTTTTCCTTTCAGGTGAGCAATCTGAATGGCAGCAATATCACCTCTGTTGCCCTGAGTTACAATGAAACACTCTCTGTATGGACCCAAAGGTTTGCAGATAACACCAGTAGTCCCTTTTCCTATTGTCACTTTCATTTTATCTTTGAAACTGAAGTGCCAGATTGCATAGAAGGATATCCAGTTTTCTGTCCTTTGAACACTGTCTTTAGTCTCCAGTCTCCAGGCATCTTTAGCTTCTTCATCTGATATCACCAATGTGCCTACTGTCTTCTTTAAGCTCTTCTTTCGCAAAATTTGGTAGCACCTTTCTGATGTGGTCCCCTTCCCACCACAAAGCAATGGATTTGTATTATGTAAGGAGGGAACTGAGGCCTTAGAACAAACAAAACCAAACAGCAAGGAGCCGTTGAGAGCCAGTATCCAGCACAAGGACAAAAAATTTCCACCATCATTTGGAACTTTCATGCCTTCATCTGAAAATAAAATAAAGATACTAACTCACTAGTCACAATACCAAGGCAACTTTTTTCCACATCTGTATAAATGTCGAGTTTCTGTTCCCTAGTGCAGTGACAATGGCTAAACTTCATAAATATGCACACACTTAAGTGAAAGGCCCCTTTGCTCCATGTCTAGAAATCACTTAACAACTCTTCACTACTCAATCTCTTCAGTAATACCTGAATCAGAGCTTTGGCCGCTGTGACATCACAATCTGCTCCAATGAAGATTCTGCTTCAACTCACATATGTTAAAGAGACAGGAGAG